CTCAATGACTGTTTTAGTAAATTGGCTGAACTATACAACTATCCTGACCACCTAGTTTGAGAACATTTCTAGCTCCCCAGTAAGATCTCTCAGGCTGGGTGACACTCCCCCTCCATCGCTACCCCCCCGGCCCCAGCCGACCACAAATCTGCTTTCTGTGTCTATGGATTTGCCTTCTCTGGACGTTTTATATAAATGGATCAGACAACAGGTGGGGTTTTAGGTCTAGTTTCTTTCATGCAGCAGAATAAACGTTTTGGAGGTTCATCCACCTCCTAGCACGTACCAGTATTTAATTTCTTTTTATTGCCTGAGAGTATTGCACGGTATAGATACATTGCAGTTGTTTTTATCCACTTACTAGTCAGTGGACGCTGGGACTTACAGCCACTTTGGGGCTGTAAACAATGTTGCTATGAACATTGGCACGCAAGTCTTTATGTGGACATGTACTTCCATTTCTCTCTGGAAGATTCCTAGGGGTAGGATTTTCCATATGACCCAGTGATATGGAAAGTTTGTTTCACTTTTTAAGAAGCTGCTAAATTGTTTTGCAAAGTAGCACCCCATGCCTTGACCTGGGTAGTAGTTACAGGGGGTCTTGCTTTATAATTATTAGTTATATATCTATGCCTGTTCTATATTTTCTCCTATTTTATAATTTTTTAAGAGTCAAAAAATAAATTGGGGGAGGAGTCACAAGTGGAGTCAACTCTGGAAACGTTTTTTCTGTAAGGGGCAGGACTTGGAGCTATGCAGAGCATTGGAGGAGAAGCAACCGGGAACCCCAATCCTGCAGGAATCTCATGGTAGGGGCCCTAAGATCACTTAGATTCAGGACCTGGGTAGGCATGTGCGAGGCATATGCCAATATATGCAAATAAGTTTAGCTTTTCTAGGTTTCCTCACCTTGGGCTCTGTCTCTCATGGTTCTGATCAGGTTTAATAAGCAAACCCCAGGGCTTTGCTGGGCTCAGGCCCTCACAGCCTGACTTTCCAGGGAGGGAGGAAGCGTGCAGTCCTTCAGGCAGCTGGGGTGGAGTATCACCTGCTAATCCCTGGCCTGCTGAGTCCACCACTCTCCCTGATCCCCTCGAGCTCACCCTGGATACTGGCCACAGCTAATCTCCACCTCCTAGGGATCCAAGGGCTGGGCAGTGCTCTCTTCCCTGAAGTTTGCAGGGTGGGAAGGGCCCTCTCAGCTCCCAGACACCCTTAATGCAGGGCCTAGAACACTTTCCAACACAGAAGGGAGACATGAGGCTCTAAGAGAGACAGAATATAATCCACAGTCACACAGACTGCCTGGCGGGGGCTCAGCAGCCATCCCTGGCCTGCCCTGGCCTGGCTACCTTCAGGAAGCCCCAGCTCCCTCTCTGACACTTCCCAAGATGCCTGGCCTGTGCCGAAGCCTGAGAAACCACAGCCTTCAGGAAGGCTGAAAGGAAGTGCCCAGTGCACAGGAATTCTGGCTGTGGGCTCTTCTCAGAGCCTGTGGTTGCCAAGGTTGCCAAGGAGTGGGTGCCTCACAATCAGGCTGCAATGGGCATTGTCTCTGCACAATGATCCTGCATTCTGTTGCTGTATGCTGCTGGTCCAGCCTGACCTCTCTTCCTCTTCTGCCTGTTGAGCAAAGAGCTGAAAGTCCTCATAAGTTTGTACATGTGGGCCTGTACCTTGCAGGTGAGGTAGCTGCTGTCAGTGAGTCAGAATCTTGGGGCCCTCTCTTCCCCATCTCTGGGCTCCACCTCCCTGCCCCTCCCTAGGCAGACCCAACCCCTGGGCAGTTTCCCCATGATTTGTCATAACTACTGTCTGTGCCTCCAGTGTTCAAGGCCCTCTTTCCTCCTGCCTACCGATCTCCCACCTTCATCTCTCACTTCTAACTCGGGTCAGGAAGGAAGCAAGCTGAACCAACAAATTCTCACTAAAATGTAAATGACTGAAAGTCTCCTGGGAATATCTGCTTTCTAAAGGGAGGTACTGAGTAACCAGCAATGTTTTTCTAGTTCAAGTCTACCATGTCACTCCCCTTCCTTAAAACTTTCCTATGTCTCTCTAGAATTTTGAAATGCCAGGTATCTTACTAAGGCAAGTCCACAATTATTCACTCAGCAATATACAGCATACCAAGCTACATTCTGAGTCCACTTCTGCCCTTTCCTGCTTCTTACTTCAAAATAGACTCAAATGCCACCTCTTCTAGACCATTCCTTGAAGGCCCCAACCCCAGCCTCCATACCCACAACCTGCACTGACCTCTCCACAGCCCCTAGCATATCCTGTGTGTGTGTCTGGGAGGGGGAGGTCCGTCTGTCGTCTGTGTGTTCCTGCCACCACATGCTGAGCTCCTAAAACATTTCCTGGCACACAGTAGGTGCTCAGTAAGTGTTTGACAAGTAAACAAATCAGCACTGGCTAAGATTCTATCCCTACATGGAATGGCATCTGGCTAGTGTGAGCCCAGGGTGGGCCCCTTAGTACCCTCTGCTCCCCAGCTATGGCCCACATCATCAACCTGGTGCCCTGGGATGATGGTTGCACACACACGTGTGCAGCCCCTGTCATCCCGCTCCCCCTGGAGCGGCAGCGCAACCAGCTGGCCAGTGTGAAACAGCAGCTTTACCACCCAGCGCTGCCCACCCTGCGCCGCATAGACATGGACAACGTCAAGTCCTGCCTTACGGATGAGCATTGCCAGACCACCACCTACTGCCGGAAAGGTCAGGCCATGGCGCTGCATCCCCCTCTGGGCCTCTGGGGAAGGGGCAAAGGTTTGGAGGGAAGCTATCTCAGAGGGAAAAGCCGTTAAGTGGCAGCTGAAAGGATCAAAAGGGTCAGACCTGGCTCTGCTGCTCGCTTCCCAGGAAACCCCAGAAAGGTCTGAGCCTCTGTTTCCTTATCAGCATAGTCCTTAAGGGAAGCTGGATATTGGTGTGCTCCCACTTAAAGAACACAATGAAAGAAAGAGCATATGGCACACCTGTTGGGTGCGGGACTCCAAAACAAGAGGGACTCTAACAAATGCAAAATTGTAACCTACTTGTTTGTATCCTCATATTAATCAGAAATAAAAATAAAATTATAAAAAAAAAAGAGGACAGACCCTGCCTCACAGAATTAAAAGGAGCAAAGGCATGACAAGCAGTTAAAGCTCAACCAATGGCCAGCCATGGAGCTCAGGCCTGTAATCCTCACACTCTGGGAAGCTGAGATGGAAGGATCATTTGAGCTCAGGAGTTCAAGACCAGCCTGAGTAAGAGTGAGATCCTGTCTCTACTAAAAGTAGAAAAATCTAGCT